CCACTTATCATCTCTTTCAATTTTTACATAAAATGGGAACTGTATTGTTCCATTACAGAGGAAGAAGCGGAGACTTCATATATGTAGTTAGAGATTCCTGTGGTTATACCTGTAGTTAGTAATAGCATGAAATCTACAGCCCTTAGCCAGTGTCACTTAAGTCAATGGAAGGGAAGGAAAGGGACTCTGGACAGAGGTGGCTAGATATGTGGGTTTGGGGAGTTGCTCAATAAAGTGTTAGTTGTTTCCACGAACATGGGAAGATCAGCTGGAAGGGGGATAAGTGAAAAGTCCTTGCAGATGAATGGCTAAACAGTTTTATTAAATTAAAAAACCAGAGTCAGATATGGAGTTAAAACCTGAGAGATCAGAGGAATAGGAAAATCCACAAGCTAAAAACCTGGAGCTAGATACAGAGTTAAAACCTAAGATATCAGAAGAATAGGAAAAACCACAAGCCAACCTCACCTTACTGACCCTCAGCTTCCAAAGCGACCTACTTTCTGTATACCCATGCCTTTCTGTTCTGCTATCTCATTTGCTCTCTCTGTCCAGCTACATCACTTCCTCTTCTGCCCATCTCTGTCACTTCCTGTCTGTCTGTACAGACCTCCAGACCTTTATGGTTAACTAGTGTTGGAATTTAAGGCATGTACCACCATGCCTGGCTCTGTCCCCAGTGTGGTCTTGAACTCACAGAGATCCAGACAGATCCCTGCCTCCCGAATGATAGGAGTAAAGGTAAAGGTGTATGCTACCATTGCCTGACCTCTATGTTTAATATAGTGGCCGGCTTTCTCCTCTGATCCTCGGATAAACTTTATTGGGGGACACAGATAAAATGTCAGCACAAGTCCTAATACAGGAGACACAGTATGAGGTGCTGCAGAGGACAGAGGCAGCAGAGTCGTGGACCACTTGACACTTGCCTGATAATGGACCTCATACATACATGCAGGTGGTTTCGCAGGATTACGTAGTCTGGGTACAGTTGAGTTTGTGTGACCACACTTTGTGATGTTTGATAGTCTAGGGGGCACTCTCCACAGAGTGTGTACTCCTCCTTAAGATACAGTTGTAGGGACCCGGAGAGATGGATCTGTGCATAAGAGCACTTGCTGTTCTTTCCAAGGACCTAGGTTCTGTTCCCAGCACCCACGTGGGAGCTTCTACCCTTCTGTAACTCCAGTTCCAGGGTGTCTGGTCCCCCGTGGGGGCACCAGGCATGCATGAACTGCATAGTCATTACATGAAGGCAAAACACTCATACACATAAAGAAAGATCAATTTTTGAAAGATGTAACCGTAGAAGGTCAAGGGGAGTGCCTGTGGATGTTCGGGAGGGAAATACTTGAAGGACAGCATGGCCAAGGTCAGGTCCAATGCTAACAGCCTCCTGCCTCAAGGATGGGAGATGCTTAGGTCTCACTGGCGGCCTCCGGAAGATCATCCTCCTAGGTTGATGGAGGCAGGGAGCAGGGACAACTCCACTGGAATTGGTAGTGGAGGGCTAGAATAGAAGCAGATCGAGTTCCCGAGGAGGCTGGTTCAGGAAAGATTTTGGTGTGTTTTAATATGGCAGGGACCCATTTGTCTGTGAAAAGGACCAAGCCAGTTAGAAAGGACCCAGTAGGGTGGGGTCCTGGCCAGGTGTGCAGAACGGTGAGCCTGGGCTCCGGAGGATAGAGGACCCAGACAGGCCTGGCTCAGGCTAGAGTAATGGACCAGGCTGCCGATCAGGAGAAAGGTGTTGATCCTGGAGGGCAGGGTGGAAAGGGACTTCGATGGCCTTCTGTCCTTTCACAGAGAAAGTGGGTCATCATTGTTGGTCCAGCATTCCGGGATGCTTCTGGGACTTCCTTGCTGGCGCCTCCAGTCAAGCTCAGAATGAGGCCCTAGGGTGGGCGCAGAAGACCCGCCCCTGGCCGGGAGGAGCTGGACTCCTCCTTCCCACAGGGCTCTCAGGTGACAGGCCTGTGGGTCCCTGCCCCGCCCCGCCGCGTATTCAGGAGGTCCGTGGCTCAGAGAGCAGTCCCTGCTGCCTGTGCGTGCGTGGACCTCGCTTCCTCGCTCCCGAACCCGCTGCTCGCCATGACCACCGCTCCCACGCCCCGCAGCCTGGTCATTTTCCTCCAGGTGCTGGGACTCGCCCTGGCTCAGATCGTAAGTCCTGCCGCCTCTTTGGCACCGGAGTCCTGACTGCAGAACTTGGGTTTAGGATCCAGGAGTTTTGGGACCTGCTCTAGTGCGTCCGTAGCCGGAGGGGCAGCTGAGGACAGAGTCTTTGGGAGGGTGCATACGGCAGCGGGCAGTGAGGGGAGATGGACCAGCCCTGGAGCCAAAGCGACCCAGTCCCGGGATGCTCAGCCTTGCCTGAGAGAGACAGCGTCGGGCCGGAGCTGGCGCAGGGTCCTGGCAACAGGGAGAGCCCAGGTGGTGGTGGAGACAATGGTGGCCATTCAGTCGACAGCGGAGCCTCCGCCCCCGGAGCCTCCTAAGGGGCCCGGGCTCCAGCCAGACTTCCCTGTGGCCCCTCTGCATCTCCTCTGACCGACTTGTGAGCTCCTGTCTCACTTCAGAGGGACGGCTGGGGGCTGGGAAAGGTATGCTTCGAGTGGGACCTAACGGGGATCTTGGCCTGATGTGGTCCCCCGACCTCCGTGCCAGGTGATGTTGGTTGTGGGGTGCAGCTTGCCTATGGGGAGCCAGTCTGGCACTTCTTGACCTGGGGAGGGTACCTGGCGCCAGTGGGACATCTTCCTGACTCTGGGCTGGCCCATTACGAGGACCACCTCAGGGAGGACCAAGTGAGAAGAGTCCCAGCTTCCCTTCTTCTGAGGGCATCTAACCCACACCGGGGGACGAGGGAGAGGTGTTCATTCACCGCTGTATCTGTTGTTGGTTGGAAAACAATAATAGTTCCAAGTGCCATTCACCGAGGGCCAGGCACCACCTCACATCATCTGTGATTTGAGCGAATGGTATCTTCATCTATTTCCCACCACGACAGTGCAAGAACAGTGTGGTCCAGGGGAAGAGGTGGGCCGACCTAGGGTGCATTCACTCTGTGACCATTTACCTTTAATCTTTCTGTGTGTGTTTCTTCATCCTCAGCCTATCACCCCCAATAGTACCCCCGACAGTTCTGAGCAGTTAATAAGATAATGAGTATGATGCACACAGTACCTGGTACACAGTAGCTGCACAACAAACGCCCCATGGAGTTCCGTTTCCTTGGGGAGTTGCCGCCCTTAGTCACCTTCACTTTCAGGGTTTCCAGCAGCCCCCGGGAACCCAGTTCTGCTCACTGTCTGAGGGCTGCATTCTTGTGTGTGTTTTCAGAGAGGTCCGCCGGGAGAGCCGGGTCCTCCAGGGCCACCAGGGCCACCAGGAGTGCCTGGTTCTGATGGCATCGACGTGAGTATCTAACTTCAGACTTGAGCGGAAGGAAGGCTGTCCACAGAGGAGAACTTTGTGCGCGCAGGGGTGGGGACGCCTGGAAGTTGAGCACCCCCTGTTGCCAGCAGGCGGCGCCTGCAGAGACCACAAGGAGCTCGTTTGTTCTGTGAAAACCCCAAACCAGCCCTGAAATGCAGAGTCTGTCATAGCCACCCTGCAACAAGGGCCTGCTGTTCTGTCGCTGGCCTCAGCTCACAGCGTGTCCTCATCCCCCTTCCTCCCTTCCTCCTCTTAACCCTCACGCTGTCTCCTGACACATGAGCACTTCTTTAAGGTAGCGGAGGAGCCTTGTGTAGACTGCTCATCTGCTGGGACCACATTCCCATCTCCTCTTTTGCTTTAGCTCCCGGCTTAGAATCCGCGGGGCTTGTCCTCTGCTCTCCTAGCGTGCTGAGGGTTAACCACCTCATTCTGGAGGCTCCCCCAGGAGGTCGGCGGGATGTTTACCGTTTGGACAGACTTCTATTCAGTCTGGTGCCCCCACCCCCAAACGCAGGGCGCTGGACCCCAGCCAGGCTCTGGCTGCTGCAGACTCCGGAATTCTCGGGGGCCTCTCTAGGGCTAAATCTGACTCCATGGCCATGCCAGTCTCCCACCAAGGGTCCTTTGTCACATGGAAAAGAGATCCTTTTCTTGAGAACATTTTGAATCTCTCCCCTTGCAGGCCCCCTCGATCCTTGCCTCTGCTGCAGTCTCTGGCTTTCCTGACTGAGAGTCGCTACCCACCTCATTTCCCTCCCCTTCAGATTTCTCTAAAAGCCTTTTAAAAAATTATTTGTCGCTTGCTTAACGCATCAGTTCTCTCAACTAACTTGAACCCCAGGGACTTCAAAGCTAGTACCTTACCAACACCAGCATGTCTAAAACCTACTTGACTAAATGCGCCTCTCAGCGGGCTTCGTGTTGACACACTTATACTTGGTTTGGTTTTCATTTCATTTCATTTAGACAAGGTCTCTTTATGTAGCCCTGGCTGTCCTGAAATTCACTGTTAGACTAGGCTGGCCTTGAACTTACAGGCTTACACGTGTCTCTGCTTCCCGAGTGCTGGAACTAAGGCCTGTGCTCAGCTGAACGTTGTTTGTTTTGAGCAAAGGGAACTGTTTTTAAAAAGTACAAATCTCAGCACAAGGGAGGAGAAGGCTCTGAGACCATCGGCCGGACTTGTCTGCACGCACTTGGGGAAGCAGGAGCCATAGATGCTGTCTCATCAGCTTGTATCTTGCAGGGTGACAAGGGGCCTCCAGGAAAAGTTGGTCCTCCGGTGAGTGCTTTTTATTTTCTTTGACCCTTGACTCTCCCAGCACTTGCTGCCCTCTGCCTAATATGCTCTGCTTCTAATTTCAAGGGATCCAAAGGAGAGCCTGGCAAACCCGGGCCGGATGGGCCAGATGGGAAGCCTGGCGTGGATGTGAGTACCTGAGGCTGGGGAGAGTCTGATTCTGGCTTCTTCGGGCATGTCTTGTTGGAAGGGTGGCAAGATGGCAGCTCTCTGGCCATTCAGGCCTCTTTTCACACAGTTGTGACCTCAGTCTCATCTCCTATCGACCCTGACTGGAAGCCGTGGATCTCTGGCAACTGGGAGCCAGAGAAGGGGCTTTGCTTTCTGTGAGCTGCAGGATTGTCCCACCTGTCTGTGAGGACTCAGTCGCGTGTCTCTAGAGACTGCACTGTCTTTGTGCGTCCTGTCTGCGCTCCCCACCCCCTCACTCCCACCCCCTCACCCCCTCACCCCCTCACCCCCTCACTCCCACCCCGTTGCCTTGCTTATCCCCTCTGCAGTTCCTGGGCATCTCAGGGAAGGAACACCATTACAGAGTTCCCAGGGACCTCAAAACCACAAATTCCTGAGGACTGACAGTCTCAGGGAGGTGGGGACAGTTATTTGGTGGAAGTACATGGGCAGGTTCTGAAAGATGTGGGAGTAAGAGAAACCTCTTTGAGCTTTGCCTGGTCTGCTGATTCAAGGGGTGTGGCCAGGGCTGCAGACAACAGGGCCTCTTTAAACTCCTCATCCATACCCTGCAAAGATTACAAACCACACTGCCTCACTCCAGCAAGTCAGTGCTTATGTCTGCCCAGAGAGCTAAAGGTGTGAATTCATTTGCAAATGAGGAAAGGAAGGCTTTCAGAAGTTGCCGAGAGCAGACATTGAGCACATCACCAGTCCAGGTCCATGTTGGGGTACCCTAGACTCGAACTGTGAGGAGTGAGGCTGAGCCCACAGGTCTTGGAGTCTTAGTTTCTAATCTCTTAAAGGAGGGTAATTGGGTTGAGAGTGTAGTTCAATGGTGGGGTGCAAGCATCTGGGCATGATAGTACACATCTGTAAGTCCAGCACTCAGGAGGTGGGGGAAAGAGAGTCAGAAGTTCAAGTCATCCTTGGGTACATAGTGAGTTGGAAGCTACCAACTCAACAACACAACAAAAGGATAATTGCCAGGCATGGTTGCGCACACCTTTAACCCCTGCACTCAGAAGGCAGAGGCAAGTGGATCTCTGAGTTCCAGGCCAGCCTGGTCTACAGAGCAAGTTCCAGCGCTACACAGAGAAACTCTGCCTCAAAAATAATCAAAATAAGGGCTGGAGAGGTGGCTCAGCAGTTAAGAGCACTGGCTGTTCTTCCAGAGATCTTGAGTCCAATTCCCAGCAACTGCATGGTGGCTCACAACGATCTGTAATGAGATCTGGCGCCCTCTTCTGGCCTGCAGGCATACATGTAGACAGAATACTGCATACATAATAAATAAATAAATAAAATAAATAAATAAATAAATAAATTTTAAAAGGAGAATAATGGTTTTGCCTGCCTCTCAGGATTCCTTTAAAAAGAGAGGAAGGGGAAGTTAAGGTCCCCAGGCCTCCAGGCAGTATGGGAAAGCCTAATGAGTCCCCTAGACTTATCCTTCCCTGTGAGCTAAGGGTAGGTGCGCCTCAACAATCCTACCATCTCTTTCTTCCCCAGGGTTTAATGGGTGCCAAGGGAGAGCCTGGACCCATGGGGACCCCTGGAGTCAAGGTAAGTGGCTGCTGGGTGCTCACTGAAAACAAATTAAGGTCGGAGTTTGGAGGCACTACAGTAGAGGGAGGTATGGACCCCAGGAGACTCCAGCCTCTGAGTCTCTTCCATTGCTCCTGCAGGGTCAGCCTGGCCTCCCAGGGCCCCCTGGCCTGCCGGTGAGTAGCACCTGCAAGGGTGTGGAGGGACCCTCTGAGGATGGGAGGACCTGCGGAGGGGAGGCGTGAATCTGATTTCCTTGATTTCTATTGCAGGGCCCCGGTTTTGCTGGCCCTCCCGTAAGTTCTCGGGGGTGGGGCAGGGAGCTGGGGAGGGAGAGGAGGGCTTCTAGGGGAGTCTTCATCCCAAGGAATGACCTGCGTGCTGTGCTGGTGCCGCGCATAGGCAGCTTGTTGAGCCTGGAATAGTTTGGCCCTTCTAGCCCTGCAATCTGGTCTCTCTGGGATTGTTTGAATAGTCATGTGGAGGAGAGACTTTTGGTGCCTGTCCCTACCTTCCTATCTAAGGTGGCTGACCTGGTGAGGCATCCCAGAAAACTGCCTCTCTGCCCTACAGGGACCACCTGGACCCGTTGGCCTCCCTGGTGAGATTGGAACCCCAGGCCCCAAGGTGAGAGAGCCTACTGACCCTCCAACTCTGCCCCTTGCTCTGCATGCCTAGACTGGCAGTCGGGGGCAGGCTTTCTGGGAGTTTCTGGGTTGCTCCTGGCTCACGAGGCGCTCCTCCAGGCCTGGGGCACAACCCCCTCCTGCTGAACCTGGGACTGCAGCAAGATCCTCCTGGGAGGCTCAGGGCTGGTGCCACCTGCCCATGTCCTGGATCTCCTTACTGTGACAGCTCTCTGGAGATGCCCCCAAATAGCGGCGGGGATGGAACAGTGGTAGGAAGTGGAGGAAGACCAGGACAGACTGGGGCAGGCAGGATGGTGTTGTGACTTGGGCTTTTCTTGTTTCCAGGGGGACCCAGGACCAGAGGGACCATCAGGGCCCCCAGGACCCCCTGGGAAACCAGTAAGTGTCCTCAGCCCTCCTGAATGGCCGTGTGTTCCTGAGGAAATGGCTTGCAGTGGGGATGGGTCAGGTCATGTCTCATTCCTATGTATCTCCTCTCAGGGCCGACCAGGAACCATCCAGGGCCTGGAAGGGAGTGCAGATTTCCTGGTGAGGGATAGAGTCTGGAGAGACTGACAAGGGCCTTCAATGGGAAATGGGGAGGGAGCTCTGGGAAGCATTGCTCAGCTGGCCCTGGCCAGGCAAGAGACCTCTGGCCTCATAGAATTTTCTTTCCAGTGTCCAACCAACTGTCCAGCTGGTGTGAAAGGCCCCCAGGGCCTGCAAGGAGTGAAGGTGAAGAGGTGGCTTGTCCTGGGAGGGTGGAACGGGTACTTGGAGGCGACCTGGGGCTGAGTTCCCTCCTTCTCTTCAGGGGCATCCAGGCAAACGGGGGATTCTGGGTGATCCTGGTCGCCAGGGGAAGCCGGTGAGTATGAGGGCTAAGGGCCAGGCATGAGGTGAGGATTATGGGGAGACAATCCTACAGAGATCTGCCTCATTCTTCATCCCTTCCCTGTCCCTATGGGTCCAAGGGACAGATCCTTGAGCTGGGAGGCAGGAGGCCAATGTTACACACCAATGGTCCCCCCCCTTCCTTTTTTGGTTTTTCAAGACACATTTTCTCTGTGCAGCCCTGGCTGTCCTGGAATTCACTCTGTAGACCAGGCTGGCCTTGAACTCAGAGATCTGCCTGCCTCTGCCTCTGGAGTGCTGGGATTAAAGGCATGCACCACCACTGCCCAACCCAATGAGTCTCTTGTTGAGTCCTTTTTTCACGTGATCTGGGACATTGTGGTTTCTAATTGCTCTGCCTGGCTGTCTCTGTTGGGAAAGGTTGCTGGTGTCTGTCTGTCTTGTCTGTCAGTTTGACAGCTCTTCCTTGCTCTTAGGGCCCCAAGGGAGATGTGGGTGCCTCTGGAGAACAAGGCATTCCCGGACCACCGGTAAGAAACACCTCACTGTTATGCCCTTTATCATCCTGGGGGCCCTTTAATGGGGCTATTCACCTGCTTTGGCCTCTATAAAAGAAATCTGTGTCTGGCTGGGAGTGCCTAGGTGGGGTGAGAGACAGACTGGCTGCTCGGAAAGAGTGGACTGGACCAAGGCTGCCCACCAGAAGGCCTGGCTAAGGTCCAGGCCTTCCATTGTTTCTTTAAGTGCGGTCTTGGAGTCTTAGTTTCTAATCTCTTAAAGGAGGGTAATTGGGTTGAGAGTGTAGTTCAATGGTGGGGTG